CCTATAAATCGGCCTAATTTGCAGCACAATCGGCCGATGCCGATTAATTTAAAAATGCCAAAAATCGATCAATCGGTCGACCTCTAGTATATATACTTACTGATTTATTCATTAATGTGTAATATGTTATATATTTTAAGCAAATTATGATCTCTAAAAGATTTTCAACTAACCAAAATTAAAAAGAATTATATATCGGTATCGGCCAAAATGAGTTGAAAATTATCGGCATATCTGATATCAGCAAAAATCCAATATCGTGCATCCCTACCAAAAATTATTCAGACACCAGATATATTTTTTTATAATTTTTTACTAGTGGGTGCAGGGCACTATAGTTCATTTATGTAAGTGAGTATAGCAAAATAAAGTAAACCGTGACAAATTATACCCACAAATTCTTCATACAGTGGACTACCAGTAAAATTGATAAAAATTTGGGACCAAAAATTATTCAGACACTTTGACCTGACCATATTTTGCTTAAGTGTTTTTCTTTAATTGCTAATGCGACCTTTTTACACAACAGACTGAGCAACATTAAGCATTGCTTGGTAATTAGTTGACCTAAATTGGTATTATCTAATTGCAACCGAATTCATTTGTGAGACAGAAGGATGGCATTATCAAGATGAATTTGTTCTGACACAGTTTAACTCTGAGTTCTTGTCATATTTTATTACCATTTTCTAAACTATAGCGAATAAACTGTGATAAAGTGAGAAATGTTGAAAGTGTCTGAATAAATGTTGGTTTGACTAGATTGTCTCAGCACACACTGAAAAGCGTGTACTTTCCCATCTACAGTGAACTATTTTAATATACTGGACGTGTACAAATGGTTACACAGCACTTGCTCAATTCTTGTTGTGGTTTTGTTTGCACAGTACAGATGAACAGAGAGATTGATGAGAATTAAGATGGCGTGTGTGTGTGTTTGTAGAGTAAAATCGAACAGCTGGCTGCAGATTGGAAAGTTCTGGACGCCAGACTGAAGGAGACGCCACAGCAGCCTCTTTCTCCATGGACACAACAAGTCTCTCAGCAGCAGTTCACAGGTGAGCGCAGCACACACAGGTAAAGCGGACTCTCACGCTGCTCCTCCCGAGTGTTTAACGTCTGTGTGTGTTTCTCAGCGAGCGTGCCGTCTGCGGTGCACATGGTCAGTCTGATGAGCGAGGAGCGGCGTCCCAGTCCAGAGCTGGTGGGCCCCAGCGACCTGCACCAGACGGCCACAGAGCTGGCGGACTGGCTGCTCCTCATCCACCAGATGCTCAAATCCAACATCGTCACGGTGGGAGACAAAGAGGAGATCCACACCACCATCGGCCGCCTGCAGGTCAGACCACAGAGTGTTTGTCATCGGTTTGAGGAAGTTTGGCTTAATAGGGTTGCAAAGAGCTAGTAGCTTTTTCCTCAAATTGACAATAAAAACTGTGATTTCTGGCTGTGCATCTGTCCACACAGAGTTATTATTCAGACCCCTGCCTGAGCAGTTACAGCTCATTTTGAAGGTGTTGTGTCTTGATTGTAGGTGACTAAAGGAGATCTCGAGCAGAGACATCCACAGCTGGAAGACATCATCACTCTGGCGCAAAACATCAAGAACAAAACCTCCAACCTCGACGTGCGCACCTCCATCTCTGAGAAACGTGAGCGGATGTTCATTATCATCTTCAGCTGAATTGTCTTTAATCTGAATCCTGCTTTCAGTATTCGTCTTAATCTGTTAGTCTTAAAGGCACAATATGTAATTTTTCACCACTAGAGGGCGCGTATTC